GACCACCCAAATTGGTCCATCGACTGCATTTCGGCGCCAATTTTCGACCATCGACCAAGATCGATAGAGAGAGAGAGAGAGAGCTGCACAGATGGTCAATATTTCGACCATCGACTGCATTTCGGCACCCCTTTTCGACCATCGACCATTTCCAATCCAAAATTTGACAAACCACCTCCAGTCCCCAGAAATAATCCCCCCTTAAAAAAGGGCCCCTCCCCCCAAGAAAAATGAACCCAGAAAAATAAAACAAAAAAGAGAGCCCCCCTAGAGAAAAGGAAAAAGAGCCCCCCAATGAAAAGAGAAAAAAGGAAGGAAAAAAGCCACCCAATAAAAAAAACTCACTTTGTAATGCCATTGAGGATCAAATTCCTCTGGCTGAACTTTGAGGTCCTCCGTCGAGATTTCCTTGAGCCGATGACAACAGGGGATTCCCATTCGTTTCCGGTAAGAGTTGTTGCAAGCCAGCTTGACAGAGTTTTGGGCAAAATTTGCTTGGGCCTTCTTGAGAGCAGCATGAGAGATTTTACCGAGACAGGGTGAAAAGATTTTGTTGATATTTCGGAGAGTTTTGATGTTTTTCTGGGAAAATTCTTCGCGGATGATTTGTTCTTCGTGTTGGAGTTCTGAAGAAAGGGTGTTGGAAATTTCAGGGAAGCTGTTGGCCTTGCTGAGGAGGGTATTTTTGATGTATTTGTGGTCAACATGGATTTGAAGAGAGCGGTGGTCAAAATGGGAAAGATCCTTAGTCCAAGGATTGGTAAAAGAATGAGAAAGGGGAATCCAAGTGGAATCTAGGAATTCAATAAATTTAGAAGGGTAACCAGAGTTATTTTTGAAGTTGGAATGGTAGAAATCATGAAATTCAGAAGGGGAAGGTTTTTTAATGAAAGAGGACCACAATTTGAGAATTTTGGATTCTGATTGGTTATCTTTTATAATTTTTTTAGCATTGAGTTTGATGTCTTGATAGATGTGGCTGGCTGAGAGGAGGTTGTGGGTATTTGGAAAGAATTGGTGAAGGGAATTTTGAAGATCTGGATTGTGAATAGTTAAAGACAATTTGGGGAGAGGAATTTTGTGGGTGGTGAATAAAGAGTGAAGAGTTTGAAGAGACCAGGAATAAGATTGAGCAGATTGATCAGAAGTGAAAGAAAAAGCTATGGAAAATTTTTGATTGTTCCCGCCAAGGCCAGCAATGTGGAGAAGGGGCATGTTATACCTATTTTTGGTGTGGGTGGAATCTATAAAAATTATTGAGGAATATTGGGAGAGGAGTTGAAGAGAAGAAGGATGGAAAAAGAAAAGAGCCTTGAGTTCTCCATTTTCGGTGATATTTTGCTCAAGAGTGAATTGAGAAACAGCCAGGGATTTTTTCAATTCGAGCACTGGGGAAGAAGTCTGAGAAGCTTCACGTTTGGCCTTTCTCGAGATTGCATAAATGTTGGCTTGGGTGATGGAATGACCGGGGTGAGTTTCGTTGAGTTTGAGAATGATTTCTTTTGCTTTCAGACCCTGGTTGTGGAGATCTTCAATTTCTTCAGTGATATCAGATTCGAGTTCGCGGATTCCCAGAGCAGGAGGGTGATCAGGGGTTAGTTCATGGTTGTGGCTTGGTCTGACGCAGGTGAATTCCCAGTGATTTTTATTCTTGACGAATTTTCCAAGGGCCATAAATGGACAGTTGATTAAACGGGAAGACGACTGATTGGTTTGAGCTGGCAGACCTCCTCTAAATCAAAGAGAAAAAGAATCTCATTCAGAAAACTGAACAACATGGGGAAAACGGTGAAGTGATGGTGAAGAAAAAATACCTGGTGCATTTAAAGACTTTCCTATTCTCACTAGTTGTTTTGAGCGAAATCGTATAGCCATGATCTTGAGCAAACTTCTTGACAGATTCAACCATTTTGACTGGATCTTCAAACGTCTGGTCTGGTGGAGCTGAGCCTTGAGGATGAATTTTTTGATCTTGATGTTCACATTCAGAGCTAGAGTTTTTACTATCACTAGTACCACGGTATTCTTCATCACTATCTTCAATCACATTCTTTTTGATTTTTTTTTTCTTTTTGGTTTGATTTTTTATTTTCTAATTTTTTTGCTTTTTTAACTACTTTTTTTTTAAGAACTTCAGAGGCTTCAGAGGAGGAAGGGCTACTATTATTATCTAATTTTACAGTGTTATCATCTGCTATTTGAGTGTTGTTATCTAAATTTTCTTTGTTCTCTTCAATTTTTTCACTAGTTTGGAGGAGGAGGGGATCAATGTTGAGGTTCTGTGGCTTGGAAGGAGGGCTGGACATGATGAAACAAGAATTTCAGAGGTTTTTATGTATGTTTTTTTGTGGTTTTTGGGAGGTTTCTGGCTTTTTTTGGTTTTTGAGGGGGGTTTTTGGAGGGTTTTTGTTGGTTTTTAGCGGGTTGTGGGGGTGTTTAGCGGGTTTGTGGAGTTCGTGGAGGTTGAGTGTTGTTTTTCTTGGTCGATGGTTGAATCGCTTGGTTTGCTTCGGCTGGTTGGGCTGAGGAAGAAGCGAAGCGGACTTTCAACCATCGACCACCGCTCAGAGAGCGCATATCGATAAAGTTAGATTGCTTGTGCATCCGATGGACACTTCTTGAGCTAAAGTGTCCATCGGATGCACAACGATTTCAACAGAGGCTGTCCATCGGATGCTCCAAATGAGACTGTCCGATGGACAGTATCTTTTTGACCGTCCAGCGGATGGTCTTGACGACTAGGCATCACTTGGATGGTTTCCGAAGCATCCAAGTGATGCTTGGGGCACCGGAGTATCCCTTGGATGCTTTCATAGCGTCCAAGGGACGCTCTTGCTCAGAAACCGACCATCGGATGTACAGGTTTTCTAAAAACCCGCCCCGTGGTGTACCAACACATGAATCATCATCATCAGCATCCCCAAAAAAGCCCTACCCCCTCTTCAACATCATCATGGTCTTCTACATGAACAACTGCGTATTACCCTCTAAGGGTGATGATACATCTCACCATGACGTAGAATTATGATATCTACGTACCGTATGTTCAAGACTGGACCCTTCAAGTCAAAGCCAAACCCAGTTGTAACTGTTTTAAGGTGCCCGCTTTCGGGTGGTCATCGGCCATGCTCTTTCGGACACCCCAGATTCCTTTGTCCGATGACAAGTATCCTACATACTGGTTTCTTAGAAGATTCCGGAACTGTGATGTATGTCTAATATGTAATTGATTGAAGTGATTGGAGAACATGTCCTTCAAGCACTGGCCAATACGAATCCTGCTAATCCAGATTAACATGTTATATAAATACGTTTCGTTTTGAAATGTTCTGTGTTATATGTTGTCCACCGCGGCCACCGGCCTGACATACATTTACCACGAAGATAACCAAATTTAGGGAAGAAAGGAGAAATGGGGAGTAGAGTATCCCCAACATTGCTAGCATTCTTTGCCACCCTTGAAATACTACAGCAGCCTGTTTCTTCTGTGGAGGCCAGATTTGGCATATTGAATTCTCCCGTATCTGGTGCACCATCCCCCAGTTTAAATGCAAGTGACTTCATAATTGATTGTCTTCAAAAAAACCGCTTACCAATCCCAGCTCAATTGCTGACTGCAAATCTGTGGTGGATAATGGAATAGTCACAACTACTGTAGAGAAGAGGCCCCCTTTGGCATTTCCCTACTAGCAAGATTGAGAACTGTAGCAAACTTGTGGACCAAGAAAAGATTGTAACAGGCCCAAAGGGGAAATTCAGTCTCCCCCTATTCAATTTAGTGAAACAGATAGACCTAATTTATAAGAATTTCTTCAAAATGATATGGAAACTTTAATTGATGGCCAAGGATGGTAGGAAAATTTTCTTTTTTCTTTTTTTATATTAATACATTGTTTTAATTTGTTTGAGAAAAAAAATGATTTTCTTGAATTCAATAAACACTTTTTCTTCTTCTTTTTATTGGGGGGTGGGGGGGGGGGGTGCAAGGGGTCTCAGCAGGGGGAATTTAAGATGGATTCTTGCGCTGCATCATTCATAACCTTTTTGAGCAATTAATTATTAGACTATTCATATGGCTTTCCTTTCCTTGAATCACAATTCCCCCACCACTGAAAGCCTTTGATAAATGAAAATTGTCAGGTTGGTTTAATGGTCTTTTTCAACTTATGCGTGCACCAAACATTCAGAAGACAGTGATGGAATCTATTCTTAGTGTGAAGAGTGCCAGAACGGTGCTCCCTGGGACCCTGCCTCCCTGTGCCTTCCGAAGCTAAACTGATTGACGCGTGGTTAAAAGCGTAACTGGCGTATCTACGTCAATCAGAAAATCGACAGGTCTTTGTACAAGACATGAATGAATGTTAATGCGCAAAATTGTTGAAAATGGCGGAGGCACGGCCAGCGTTCTTGTGTTTTTGAAGTACTTCACAGCACGAAAGCTATGTACACAAATTCGTATTTCAAGAGAATGTAACAGTAAGGGTAAGTAGGTGGGGATGTATCCACAAATTCCATACAGCAGGGAGGCACATCCGAAAATGTACTACAAAATCGACACCAGCCTCAAGCCAGGTCATGGCGCCTTTTACTTGCATGTATTTACAAAGAGGGATGGGGCAGGCTCGGATCCTATAAGGTCACACCGTTCTGCTTGTGTTCCGTCTCCCTCAATTCTCACTCCTGATCAAGAATTTAACGTTCGATTTCATCACTCATAAACGATAAAAAAGCGAGACTCACTCATTCAACTAATATCTACTTCATTTAAATACATTCTTTCGGTTCCGTTCACAGGAGTTTTTCTTTGATATATATCTAATTAACTTTTACGCGGTTTCATCTCCAAATCAGCATGCAACTTTTCAAGGTCACAATGTTTTTGGCCGCTGCGGCTTGTGGACTGGGTGCAGTAACTGTAGATCAGGCCCAGAAGCTCATACGATGCGGAGGGTGGCATCCCTCGTGCTACTGCACAATAAAAGTCGTGGGTGTCAAAGACAAGTGGGAAGGTGAGTGTCATTATCTGATCTTGATAATATTTAACCTTTTCACTTCAGTCGAACAGAATAACTAATGAATTCGTCGGTGGATCGATGGAATTCATAGTGAAAGAGAAATGCGTGTATTCGGGGAAAGGCCAGCACAACTTTGACCCCTGTAGGGTGTATTACAACACCGACTCATCGAGAGAGGCCTGGTGCTGTGAGGCAGGTTTCCAGCCTGAACTCGATGTAAGCAGCAAAATTAGCATCTCATGGCCAGGCCACACAATTGATCTTACCTGAACTCCATGTCTCTTGAACTTAAGATGCCGAGTGGCCATGCTCTATCGACGAGCGTCATGAAGCACAACTGCAAGCGGAAAAACCCACAATGAACCTCACCTATTGCCTTGGGATTTCGATATCAAGCAGAAATCGAATCCGTCTTCGCCAATTTCCACCTTTTGAAGTATTTCCTCAGCGTCAGAAAAAAAATCAGAAACCGAACGGAACTTATCTCTTGTTCCCCGCCACAAAGACTGAAGCACATATCAGTTTTCAATCATTCCTTTGTATCTTCTTGTTAATCATTACTGTGTCCTCATTGCATGAGAAGCTAGGATTCATACTTGCGCTATACACTCCATACCTTTTAGTCTTGGGCCATTATTAGTAGATTCTCCAGTCAGATTTACTTTCCTTGACTCGCAATCCCCTTGACACTGAAACCTTCCAAAATATGGAGCTCATGAGTTCGTTTTGGTAGTTGTAGCCCTCTTTACAAATGCAAAATAGTTCATGGGTGTTGCCCTATAACCGGTGGTTTGCAATTTTGCCCTCGAAAACTATTGAACAACTTCATCTAGTGGTGCAGTTATAGCCTTAGGAAACTTTCAATTTCTCATGTTTCGATGAGAAGGCACAGGCCAAACCATTTCGTAACAGGCAACTGAGTGCGAAACTGAGATGACACGTTTAGAAATGCCACAGACAGACATGGTCCCAATCCGCTAGATCGCTCGCTGTAGGCCGTGCTTCGTACTTCAGAGTGAGCTTCCTTGACGAAAATTTCCAGGAAATCGCCCCAGATACATAGTCACCGGGCCGATCCCGCCAAGGCTGTGGGAAATTAAGTAGGCCAATCACTTCATCGGGAGTCGGGCCGGAGCGGCTCGGAGTGAAACTTGTGTTAAATAGCGATTCATTGACCACCATTTTTTGAGTTACATATATTCCCTCCTTCGGAGGGTCCCTGCGGGACGGCGTCCCCCCTCCGAATAAAGAGGGACTTAGTTAAGTTAGCATATATTCCAGTCTGTGGATGCTGCACTGCGCCTCTCATCGAAACCCCTCGTCCTCCCATCTCGCTCTCAGTCTTATCGTAGTGAGGCAGTCAGAAGAAGATATGTGTAGGACTTTGGGCACTAGAGCTCATAACGTTTTTACACAACAGTTCAAAGCGTAGTTTCGCTGCCCGACTCCGACACTGATGTGGAACAAAAGTAGAGTGATAAATCTGCAAAGCTGGTTGTTGACTCGGGGGGGGGGTGTATGACTAGGTGCTGATGGCAAGCCCGTATCTGGCTGTACCAAACCGAGCAGAGGGCGATGCAGTCGCCATCATACATACATGGTGTCCAATCCAGCGAAGCCAGCCTCTGACTGACTTGAGTTCATTTTAGCGGCTAGGATGGTTTAGTTTGGATTGGGGTCGTAACGCCATGGTGATGAATACTTTCGTCGGTCTTCATTCGCAAAACTTCTCATCTTAGCATTTGCCTGCAGAACCATTGTTACCCTTTTCCTTGGTGATAATTAATCGCGAGCCCGCCTCTGCGGCATTTTCTATTTTGTCTTATCGATCAGGTCTCCCGAACCGAGAGAAAAGATAATAATTGATGGATACAGTCTTTCGACGTTGAGGGGCCTTGATGGACCAAGTCGTTGCTATCCTCCATTGCGTCAAATGTTCGCATGTTCCTCAATGCCTTGCCAATCTTCCTAGCTTGTGTGGAAGATCAAGATAGCCCGCTCACCGCAAAGAAAAAAAAAAAGAATATCAACCCAGCCTGCTCCGGAAAAGAACCAGGCCAAACCAATCCACTACGGTCCGAGTGAAGAATTAAGGCCTTCAAACATCCTCTTTGGCTGGTTCCTCATATTACGCCTGCAACACCCCCAGTCCAACTTGCATCTCCCCACAGACAGTCCGACCTACCAGCCAGAAATCTAGTAGCCTCATTGGCTAACAAATTTTCCTATTTATACACCCCAGCTTGTCCTCCAATCAGAATTCATCCATCCTCATCCTCTCACATCCCACTCCCTCTACAATACCACATCTGCCACATCTTTATCTGACTCTCCCCTTCCAACGTCGAACCAACCTTCCTACTTCCTTCATTCTTCTACTCCCATCACCTTCATCCCATATATCAAATGGCTTCTGCTGCTGTAGCTCTCCCGAGCTCCGCCACAGGTGGATCACTCAATCCTACTGCCCCTGCTTCAACCTCTGTCAACGCCACTACTACTACCAGCATCACTAACGCCCCAGCCAACAAACCGAAACAAGCCGGCTCCCGGGCCGTGGGTGAACCTAGAAGGGTCCGGTTCAACGTTGGGTCTAAATATCACGTCATGGATGTCATCGGCGAAGGTGCCTACGGGGTAGTGTGCTCAGCCATCCATCGCCCAACTGGCCAGAAGGTCGCCATCAAGAAGATCGTCCCCTTTGACCACTCCATGTTCTGTCTTAGAACCTTGCGAGAACTGAAATTGCTCAAGTATTTCCAAGAACACAACGTCTCTGAAAACATCATTTCGATTGTCGACATCATTCGCCCTCCCACCATCGAGGCTTTCAAGGAGGTCTATCTTATTCAAGAGTTGATGGAGACTGACATGCACCGAGTTATCAGAACCCAAGTCTTATCGGACGACCACTGTCAATATTTCATCTACCAGACTTTGCGAGCATTGAAGGCTCTGCATTCGGCGGATGTGATCCATCGGGATTTGAAGCCATCGAACCTCTTACTGAACGCCAACTGTGACCTCAAGGTCTGCGATTTCGGATTGGCTCGTTCGATCCGGACTGCCGAGCAAGAGACAGGCTTCATGACGGAATATGTAGCCACCCGATGGTACAGAGCCCCCGAGATCATGCTCACCTTTAAGCAATATACCAAGGCTATCGACGTTTGGTCGGTCGGCTGTATCTTGGGCGAGATGCTCTCCGGACGACCTTTGTTTCCAGGCCGTGACTACCACCACCAACTGACACTCATCTTGGATGTGCTTGGTACACCGACCCTTGACGAGTTCTACGCCATCAACTCCCGCCGTTCTCGAGACTACATCCGCGCCCTTCCTCTCCGCAAGAAGCGCCCCTTCGCCACACTCTACCCAAACGCTTCAGCCTTAGCCATCGATTTCCTCAACAAGACCCTCACCTTCGACCCCAAGAAAAGACTGACTGTCGAGGAAGCCTTGCAGCATCCATACTTGGAGGCTTACCACGACCCTGAAGATGAGCCAACCGCCCCCCCACTTGATGAAGACTTTTTCGCCTTCGACCGACAGAAGGACGAGATCAGCAAGGAGGAACTCAAACGACTCCTATTTGAGGAAATCAACTCCTTCAACTCTAGTACCGGGACTACCACTCAGTCTTGAGCGCTTTCCTTCTTCTTTGGCCTCTTAATCATCCTCTCTTCGATGCTTTCCATTCTTGTTTCTTCTCTCTCCACGACTGTCAAAATTCTCACCCCACTCTGTCTTTCTCCCTCTCTCTCCCTATCTGCCCTCATGCATGTTTGATACAAGTCTTAATATTCAATCACTTCAATGTATCATATCATTTAAATAATAATTTTTTTGGCCATACTGGAGCAAGCTTGTATACCTTTTCCTCTCCATCACTTACTGCAGGTGCACTAAATGATTACATAAATGAATCTTTGAAAATATAATAAAATGTCCAAAAACAACTCATTTCTGATCTATGTATCGCAGCAGAGCCCCCCCCCCCCCCTAGCGCAATTCCAGTTGATAAACACCGGACAAGTATTGTACAATTTTACTCTATCACCTGAGATGAGCTAGAGAGCTTACTGAGTACGTCATCATCGAATAACTGTTGTTCCCAATTGTTGATGATTATCAGCTTCTGGGGAAAAGGCAAAACCAGTGGGGGAAGCGCATGAGCTTCTCACATGTTCTAGTCTACCAGTACCCGAGGAGTTACCAGCTGTTACACCAGGTTTGGTAAGAGTAAAATGAAACGTGACCTGCTCACATGATTCCCTTCAAACATGCAACCCAGGCCACTTCCACAATGTCAGTGATGAATGGTCCTGAGGCGGAATTACTAGACAAGCTTTTTTTTACTCCTCCCCAAGATGGACCAACCTCTGCGGTGTTACTTCATGCACCTTTTCATCTGGATCATGACAGCAGTTTCCGGAACCATCTTACCAAACCTGAAGCCAAAAGTGTTAGAAGAAGCCAACTCTGGTTGTGAAGACATACCACACCCACTCACTCGATCTCAGGTGCTCTTGGATACTATTTCGCCATGTCTGACGGAAACCTTCATTCCAGCTCATTCGCTTAATCCACCAGAACGCTCATATCCTCATGCGCTCTCCCGATCAAGACTACCAGATCACGCTGGGCCTTCATCTTCACCATTTCCGCACCCCATTTCAACGACACACGTGTTTCAAGAGATTCCAGCAAGTTCACAAGCACCTGCAGCGAAACGCAAATGCCAGCAAATCTCAATGAACTCTTCACCTTCAAGCTCGAGCACAACATCTACGTCGAGTGATAACAGCAGTGAGCCCATTCCTTCTTCACTTGCTTTCCTGAGACAGATTCTGCCGAAGGCACAAAAAAAATCCACATCTGACTTTTTCTACGTTTGATCCGCCCATGTTTTGTAGTTCGTAAAAGGCCCAAGCAAGAACAGTTTGATCCGTTTGAACTTGTGAACGGAAAACGAGCTGGATATAGTAGCCTCAATCATCTCGATGGTAAGTTGGCCAGACCTCGGATGGATTCAATGGTCTACTGAGCTGAGCAAGAATTCACTGACACAATTGATCGGAATATGCCCTACAGCCGGCCAGCTCGCTACAGAACAGCGAGGCCCGAAACGCGGATCGTATGTGCTCAAGCTAAACCGACCCAAACAACCCAATAGTCTCTATTTTACACCGGGTTTGACTTATCTATCCTTCATTAAGAAAGCTTATGACAGATTCGAAGCGAAGTTGGCTTCATTGACATTGGATGTCACCCAGTTGCGCAATAAACTTCAACACCCGCTCGAGATGATCAACATGCATTGGTCATTCGATCGACCAGATAAGGTAGTCAGAGTGAAGCATTCTTCAACAGAAGCCGTCCAAAGTTTTACGAATTGGAAAACGCTTTACAGGGTCTTGATAGGATGGATTTATGAAAGACATGAAAAACTTATGAACAATTTCAATCTGCCAACATACGTCCAGAGGTTTCAACACGAGAAATTGATCAGCTGGCTGGATCAACAAATCTTTTCGCCCCCGACCGGCCTTCCGATTATGGGGAGGATCGATGTCCCTAATGAGCTTTCGTGGAGAAACCATCGATTCCCGTTGATCCAGTTACAATTAATCAAGTACTTCGCCCATGATGTAGACATGAATCTCCTCGCACCGACTACTGCTTTGAGTGTGATTGCAGCATTCCAGACGCAGTATATCAGTAAGTTTCATTTTAAACAGTTGATCAGCAAGATTGATCCGGCCGTTATAATCAAAATCAAATTTAATAATTGACCATGGATAAAACTCATTAGGCGATTATGTGGCCTCACGGTACTTCTTGGAAGCTTCAACGCGAATATCCACAAGTGCTGAGTTCCAGATGCTCCGATCTTTTCTAATCAACTCACTTGGGCCAGAGCAACGACAAACACTGGGGCACCATGGCTCATTCGGTACCAAGGACCCGATCTTCCAGTCAACCTTCAAACGGTTTCACGATAATCTTACAGCAACAAGTTTACGGAAATTGGAAGTGAAAAGTTTCCATCCAAAATTACCGATAGCCATGTACTTCGTCGACAAGAAATCCGACCGTCTACCTTTCCGAGTTTTGTCTCGCGATGATAGGTCAGCGATCAAGAATAGAGTGTTCAATTCGATGTTTAAGAGGTTGGCCAAGGCGATGAAGATCTTCCATCTCAAGATCCTCAGTCTTTTGGATATCAAAACACCGGAAACGATTCGGACAAGAACAGAAGAAATGCTTCAATGGCTTCTCAAAAGTATCATCGAACCAAAAGACAGTCTTTGCGTAATTGGCCACGCGAGAATCAATGGGGACTTTGCCCCCTGGGAGGACATCACCAATGGAGCTTTGAACTTGTATGGACAAGCTCAGCTGGAATTGATTGACTACTTCTCTACAAGATTTTCCAATCCTATTCTGGAAAGCTCGGCAGTTTTCATTCTCTGCTTATGGTATAAATACTATCACCCAAAGGAGTTTAATTATTTGGCTGCACAATCACATGAGCATCATTCATCACTTGCTACTCAAGAAGCAAACCAAAATGTTTAAGATGTACTTCAATTTCCAATCATGCAGCATAATTTTATTGGATTGTTTTTTGCTTACCCTCAAGAGCCTTGATGGTTCTCTATAAGGTGCAAGGAAACATAAATCATGATACATTGGATCTGGCAAACTCACCTGAGCCTGAATCTACATGATACACCAAATGTCAGCTCCCTTCTTTAGGATTAGGCTGACTAGGTTGTTTGGAATGCATAGCTAGTAAAGCCTTGACATTGTGATCTGAGTGTTTGATGGTCATTGTCCAAAGACAATTGGGAGAACACATTTGAGATCCTAGCCATATTTTTTTTTTTTTTTTTTTTTTGAATTTTGGTGAGGCCTTTGATTTTGTTTTCACCTCCATCTACAATTTGTTTTTGTGAGGTATCATTGATCAATATATCTACCAGTTTTTGAGAAATCAATCTTTTGTCAATACCTGAAAATTTGTGTTGAAGATACTAAATCTTGCTCATACTGCCCCCCCCCCTCTCCCCCAAAGATACAAAGTTAAGCAGCTTGATCAGATTTTGAATAAAAAAAAGTAGATACATACATGAATTTGATCCACCATTTTTCTTTTATATCCCATCCGGTTTGACATTTTCCACCTTTTCACTAATGTATGTAAAGGAGTTTGTATAAGTGCCTGTTTTCTGATCATTGATGAATACACTTGAGAAGTTGAGATTGCCATCTAATTTTTATCTTCTTTTTTTCTAAGGGGGGGGGGGAGATTTAACCAACTTCTGTGAGGCTGGCTTTCCTTGTACATCTACATGCAAATTGAAAGAAAAAAAAGTTGGAACAAAAACATTAGCCATATTCTAAGTTTGTCCATAAATGTATAAACATAAATTCGTAAATATTTTCTTTACAGAACTGCTTACATAATCCATGTAGCAATTCATTTATGAACATTTTTTTATGAATTTATTGCAATCATGGTCCAACCTTTGAATACCACTATTGCTATTTTGCTTGGGTTTACCCAAGAAACCCCTCAGCCAAACTCAACAACTGGAGATCCTTATCCTTACTGAAGTGAAACTTCAACAAACCCTAGATCTTTTGCAGCCACATTTGTTCTCTCAAATTCAATGCAATACCTTACCAACCCTGAAAAAAAAAAAAACAGACCGTCCAACAACCTAGATATGATCAAGGATTCGGACCGAGACAACAAGAAATGCTCTACAAAGCTAACCAAGCTTCACGAGTTCGATGTTCATAACAAAAAAACAACAACAGCTTGATCTGATACTAAGATGAAATGAGTCACTACAAAGGGTATTCGATTCGTTTTTTATATCGAAGGGGAGACTACATGAGCAAAGAATGCAAACCAATAAAAAAAACCCAAGAACAGGTCACTGGATAGTTGATGGTATAGCAGCTCTAGATCTTGATTGATCTGAACCGATTCGTGTGCTCCTTGTAATCTTTTCCAAAGAGACACTAGCAATATGAGAATGAGAAGGGATAATTGTAGCAGTGTTGCTATCTCCAACCATGTCTTCGTCCCCTCCTTTCTTGTAACGACCAAGATACATAATCGAAATATTGAGGTAGTGAGACGGTCATTGACTTGGACGAGCTCTGGAGGACTGAGCCAAGAGGGTATTCAAAGGGAGCGGCTTGACCTGCGCAGCAGCCGGAAGATCGTCTGTGGGGGTCGTTTTGTCGGCTTTATCGGCGGCCTGAGTTCGGTTAGGGGGGACGTATTCGAGGTCGGAGTCCTCGAGATCGCTCGGGTTTTCCTTGTCGGGGGACATCTCGTCCCAGATCTCGTCTTGACAGTAATCGCACATCGATCCTCTGCGGCCTTTCGAGTCGGCCTCCTGGACTTCACTGTCTGAGCCGTCTTCGTCCATCGACACATCCCCCGCCTCCTTCTCTTGCTCATCATCGTGCGCGTTCGCGTTCTTCTTGTCGACGTTCACGCGCAGGTCGAAGAGGGTGGTAGAGAGGACGGTAGAGACCTTGTCGAAGGACGGGTTGACATGGGCTTCGAGGCGTTGGTTGGTGAGGTAGTCGAAGGTGACCGGGTCGATTCCTTCTGGGAGGTTGAGGCTGGCTTGGAAGAGCAGCCCAATCAACTCGTCTCGGGAGATGTTGAGCTGGTTCAATTCGGAGTAGATCTTGTGCCAGTCGACGATCCAGTGTTCGCTGACCACGCTCTTGCGACGCATGAGAGCCATGAGCTGCTCGACGAAGTTCAACTTGCGTCTGCGGTCCATGGGCTGACACTTTTGGGTGAGCAGCTCGCAGATCTCTTTAGGGCCTTGGATCTTGCGTGAGTCGATGATGTCGAGCAAATTTGAGTCGATCGTGTTCCGGATCACGATCTCGATCGAGCGGCTTTGCGGCTCAGGCAGGACGGTGAAGCTGGCAAGGTTCGACACAAATGGCCCTTCCTTGCCCGAGATGTGGCGCAGGGTTCGGTCGATGGCCGCCTGCCAGAGCGAGTAGTTGGACCCATCAAAGGCTAGGATCGGCTTGCGTGGATTGACTTGGTCGTGAACAGCTAAAGGGGATATCAAGAACTGGTTGATGATTATGTTGGAGTGGTCGCTGTAGGTTGGGCTTTTGATGCTTGTTTCGGTCACATTGGGCGTCTGGCCAGTCAGCTGCTCTTCGCCGGTGGGTGTGGGGGTGTCGATATCTTGAGACATGATGTTTTCTTGATTGTTTCTTATAGCCTTGAAGGAACAAAACTTAAACACCTGACCGGGCTACGATTCGATGGATGGATTCGCGTGATCTGATGGTAACCAAGCTTGGTGTCAGACTAGCTTCAGTTCCACACCAGAGTGATCATAATTAACTGATTTGAGAACATACTTGGCTTGACTGTTCTGTCCGGTTTGTTTGTCGTGTCAAGGTTGAAGACTTCAAGGATGGGGGATTTCAAAAAACTTTGTCAGAGTGCCCATTGAAGAAGCAAGTCACGATCTCAGTAGAAGCATTTGCTTTGATTATGTAAGATGTTCAGATGCTTATACCGAGTGCGCTGCTGTGCTCCGCGACTTGGCTGTGTGCTGTGTGCATAGCTATTAGGACGCGTCCAAGAAACTGCCACCTTCACAAACCAACTGACACACTCCCACACGATGGAAACAGATCAGAACAACAACAACAACAACAATAGGGATCGTGTGCAGGAACTATTCCGGCTATTCAAATTCGAGAAAGTCATCAACGAAGGTCTGTCAGAATACACATCTTCAGCGTCTCAAGCCATATGTAACAGCAGTGTGCAGAGTATTGTAGAGCAACTCACCAATTGAGTTTGATTATAAATCCAGATCCAAGTCATCATACGGTCAACCTATTGGGTACGATCGAAGTAGCCAAGGATGGCCAGACAGTCAATGAAGAAGGAGTCCAGCCGAGCAAACAGGCGATCGTGATCATCAACAAGACCCACTTCACTAATCAACAAGGCTTCTTAGAAAGAATTAACTCACCAGAACAGATCCAAAGGATCACGACGATCGGCGCAAATGATGTCTATCAATGGTCCTTGGCCTGGCTCAATCCGTCCCGTCAGTTACTCGAGCAGGTCCCCGATTTCAAAATGACAATGATCTTTCCTGCTACTCAAGTCGTGTGAGTTTTACATGACTCTTCTCATATCCCCTCCTTGTTTCTGTTGAGATGTGCATCAAATTTGACACCCTAATTTGTTGGTTTTATGTTGCCATAGCATATCCAAAAGTATTCGAAACAAATCAACAAGATCATCAGAGAGACGCCAGAGTTATATCAACGAGTCGTCTTACCCTACATCCAAAACATCCCTCCTACTCGTCTATCATGGTCTGTCTAAAATTGTCTTTTTTTCAGTCAGATTCGCCTTCTTTTCTGATCAAAATACTCACATGCGAAAGATTGATTTTATTGATCCTCATAGGTTATATAATATCCTCGATCATGTCACTGAATCCGAGAAAATTGTGTACGAAGATCCATCAGAAACTGAAGGCTTTATGATTATCCCGGACTTGTGAGCTTTTTTTTCCCTAACAACAAAAAAGAAAGAAAAAGAAGCAAACCTTGCACAGTTTCTGTTCAGATGTCTGAACAAGAGAACTCCTTTTTTCATGATGATGACTGAACACGACGGAATGATGGCGGAACAGAAAGTGGGATCAAACCACGCTATCCTCATTATACTTATTATGCATCGTCAGGAGTCGAGAGATCCGCAGTATACGGGACTTAGATCCAAGCCATCTAAGTTTGTTGAAAGCGATCCGATCCAAAGCTTCGGCATCGATCGAGGAAAAGTACAACGTATCTAAAAGAGAGTTACGGATGTTTGTGCATTACCAGCCCAGTTACTATCACTTCCACGTCCACATTGTCAGTACATTCACTTCTTTTCCTTTTAATCCACTTGAGAAAGTTGGGCCAAGTCAATCCGGTCTAAATTGACCTTTCGTTCATTTCCCACATCCACTCTTCGGATGACCCACCAACCCTCAAACCAAAAAAAAAGACTCATGTTAATCATCTAGGCTTCCAAGGGATCACCGTCGGTCAAGCCCATCTCTTAGACGAGATCATCGATAACTTGGAGCTCGAACTACTCCACCAAAACCAACAGTCTCCTGACATCGACAGGAGGAGCTCTTCCTCTTTCTATCAGTCTAAGACTTTCACTTATGCGCTCGGCTCTAATCATGATTTGTTCGATGGCTTATGGTCTCGTCAGGAAACCATGGAGTAACCCATCACGAATTATCGTATGCTCGGGTTTATATACCGTTCGATGAGTGGTTGGAGCACTCTTGACCCTTGTTTGCTTGTAAGAAATGCCCTCTCAGACACTCCATTCCTTGGGCCTCGTGAGACGTCGTCGTCTTCAACTTGAGTGAAAATGCAAACCAGAACCGATCTCCAAAAAGAGGCACCGCCATCCTGCAGGAGCATGTGAATCTTTCGGGTCAAAAGCAACAAGCAATCCACAGCTCATTTCTTTGAATAAGATTCACCTCGGAACAAAAAGAGATGGTCAATATGGGGATCGAACCCATGACCTTGGCATGTCAATCCAATGAGGAGAAGACCAGATTGGACTATTAGTACCACGCTCTACCGACTAAGCTAATCGACCACCGGGTGATGTTCGGGGGTGATTGCGGGGCTACGTATTACCGGATTGTATGTATTGTAAGTTACTGTCCTCCCACACAAACAATCATTCCACAGAAAATTCACATTGGCATGTGTGCAGTGGATGGACCATAGTTTGTTGGCACTCATGAATTGTGCGGTTAAGAAACATGGCAAAAGTGAGATGTGATGCAGACAACACTGAGAGGGACTTGCCACCTTGAGCTCTGCTATCTTCATCTGGGGATTCTTATCAAGTAAATTCACTAGCTTTGGGGTTCATTTCAGCCATTCCAAGGGCAACTAGAGATCGTTTGTTTGTACTCGGGTACCTGTTGGTACCTAGGTACCTGTTGAATTTTTTCAAAAAATAGGTACCAAGTACCGCACCAGGCACCTCCCAGCGGGTACCGGCGGTACTTTTGGCGGGTACCGCGGGTACCTCCCCTCTCTTTGTAACCTAGGTTCACTTTCAGATTACCAAGTCACTTTTTTATTATTATTTTTTTCATGTTTATTGTAAAATATCAGTCCCAAGTCACTTTTTTTCCATTCTTTCATATTTATTGTGAAATTTTGACAACAAATTGGAAGAATCCTACTTTGTTATTATATTTTCATATTTATTGAAAATATCATTCCCAAGTCACTGTTTTTCCTTTTGTCATATTTGTTGTAAGACATCTTAAACTAATTGGAAGAACCTTACTTCATTATTATTATTATTTTCATATTTATTGTAAAATATTACTCAAGTCACTTTTTTGGCATTTTTTTCATATTTGTTGTCAAGTATCTACATCTAATGGGAAGAATCTTGCCTTTTTTCATATTTATTGTAAAACATCAATCCCAAGTCAATTTTTTCATTTGTTCACATTTAATAGTTTATTTTAAAGCTTAAACTGTCTACAAATTATATCTAATTAGATTATTAGAAGAATCTTCATCGTTGTCCAAAACTATCACCTTCCTTTTTGATTTTTGGTTAGACTTCTTGTTATCCTTGAGTCCCTGTTTCCATGTAGCCAAGGCACCTTCTTGGAGTTCTTGGAGTAGAAGACCACCATCATTTTGGTAGGGAAGTGAGGGGGTACCTGTAGCGGTACCTAGGTACCTGTTCAATTTTTCACAAAAATAGGTACCAAGTACCGCACCTGGCACCTCCCGACGGGTGCGGGGCGGGTGTGAAGGGTACCCCCCAAGCGGTACTAGGTACCTAGCAAAGGGTACCGTGGAACAATCTCTAAGGGCAACACTGCAACAAATACAATACACAATTTGTATCATGAGGAATTGTACCAACATGTATGGCAAAGAGCCAGATTAAATGAATAAGACTCTCAATAGAACCACATTGGTCATGAAAAAAAAATTACATCAAGACCATGATACATGGAAAAATGCATGCCAATACATTGCAAATACCGTTGTGGGATACTTTATGGGTTCCCATCCAACAACATCAAAACTTTTATGCTCAAGGAAGGGATTCCAGGGCCAAAATTACCCTAGAGGAGCAGGCTTGGACACATGTAACCCCCCTGTGGTGCATGTTACACCCCTCTTTCACTCACAGGTAGGGGGGTCAAGCACCCTTACATGTTACAGGGATATCAGGTACACATTTCACCACTCTGGGCCATGTGATCTGGCATCTGTACGTCTCAAGAAAGTACAATGGAAGTATGCAGGCACAGCATACAGGTTACCTTGGCAACCTGTCATGTGATGTGTACAGCCTCAAATAGAGGATGACATCATGTGGCTTACAAAACACAGCCTGCAGGTTGCTAGGTTGCGTGGCAACCGTTGCACAGCTTGTCAATCCAATAGAAACCACTCAACTTCTCAAATCACATCATGTAGGCTGTACCTCCAGCCAAAACCCCTCATGTGTTCTTCCATCTTGGCCAAATTCCCTCATGTAAGGCCGTACAACCAGTCAAAATCCCTCATTCCTGGCTCCCCTGGATCCAAAATACCTCATTGTTGTCTATATAAGGAGGCCCCTCCTCCCAGTTGTAATTTCTCCCCAGCAGACTTCCTGCATTCATTTACCCACATAACAGGCAAATCACTGCTCACTCCATAATATTATTTGTTCCCCAATATTTTGGTTTTACAATTATACCAACCCTTACATACAATATTACAACATCTTTACACATAACAACACCCATTTTTGCACCTGTCCACCTGTTAAACAACAGAGTATCTTTTGATACACCCCACTATCACTAATTAAAAGCTTCCAATCTAAGATTGGTGGTCTTGTTTAGTGTAGTACACAGGAAAGGCAGAGGTTACCTCACACATCCCTTTCCAAACTCAGCAAAAGGTTCTCAGGAACACTTTTGAGCTTAAAACTGTATTTGTTGCAGCGTTGCTAAGGGCCACTGGCCAAAATATGATTGACATGATCCTTATGAGTTCCATCCTGAGCTTGGGGGTAGTGTCATAATGCGTTGGGCATCTATGGTTGATGGAAAAACTAGTGTCTAGGGGCAGCTTGACTGCCCATTGAATGGCAATAAGTCTCTATCTATGTTCCAAATATCCTTTGAAAAAGAGGTACAATTAGCTTGCCAATATGAGGCATGAGCGTGGACCTTTATAGGACCATGGCACAAGCAGAATTCAAAAGTGCCTTAGTACATTAACCACAGTCTGTGATCTAGCAGGGGAAAACTCATTAGCTTAGCAAGTACGTCAGAGTATTGGGGCAAATGTGAACCATTCAGGTGATTAGCATAGGGAACAAGTCCATTGGCAAATGTAAAGCTGATTGTCCCATCCTTGTCGACAGGTATTGGCTTGAAAATCTGTTGGCTAATGGAAAACAAAAGAAACATGACAATGATAAGAACAGAGGCCTATCCTATGGCTTTGAGGATCACATTGCAGTATTCCTTCTCTTGGAGAGCCTCAAGATATCATCCAACTCCACAAACTGTTGTTCCAAATCAGCCAAATGGCTCTCCATCCCATGGTTTGAATCTGATTCTGCCAGACTCAGATGGTTTCTTTTCAAGGAACATAATGCTCATCTATGTAGCATTTGTAGCAGCTAAGCTGAAAATGGAAATAGTATGATGGTGGAACATGTTGAGGATCATTGCTGAAGATGGCAAGGTTTTGGCTTTACCCGGGAGGAGGGCAAAAGTGACACATAAGTCTTATGGGATCACCTGTGTGGATCCAATTCTTCTGCTTCAAGCCGAAGATAATGGTGTCATTATCTTCGGCTTAAAGCCAAAGGCAAGGCAGAGCTGGGTGAGCTGCTCTGAGCTGCCTCACCCAGCATACTAGATTTCTAAAATCAAAACCAGAGACAAAGTCTCTGTAGTCCAATGGTTTGCACTGGCCCCAGGATCTGCCCACCCAGCAGGTTGTGGGTTCAAACAAATAAATAACCAACATGTTTAAAATGTAGTATCAAGTTACATTATTACTAGTGTAGTTGTCTATATCCCCTCCAAGCTCTATCTCCCTGGTTGAGTAGTTCCACACCGGATGGTCAGAACTTTTTGGGAGGATGCGACTTCCCTTGGTGTCAGGGAAAGTCTTTCCCAAGGGCATGTGTCCAAATGGTCAGCCAAAAAACAACTGGCCAGACCAATTTGGTCCCCACTTTGCATTTAGAATCTACACAGTCTAAAACCTCCAAAAATATCAGCATCTGAAATTTTGGCACCCCAAATCACTCCTGGCCTTTCTCCATGCAGCAAATTTAGTTTTGTACATTAATTTTAGGGAGCAACTGTACTTGAATCCTTATATTTCAAAGCATAAAAGCTGTACCTACCTAACTATGCATGTTAATGTGTTACTCTACATACCTAGCTACACATGCGACTGAGTGACAGATTGTTGGAATTTCAACTCTTCCCTTCTTCATCTCCTTCACTTCTCCATTCTTTTATATCTCTTTCTTAAATTAAAACCCTCAACTACTAATAATTCTATAGTCTGACAAGTAGCAAGTCATGAAGTTAAACATCAAATTCTTGTAGTCAATGAACCCTGAATCCCTAGTTGTTAATTTTCTTTCTTCTCCATGCTTATCTTCTAATTATTCTTAAAGTTGTGGTGTTGAGATTGATTTAATGAAACTAACATCTTCATTAGAATTGTGGCTCTTGTTTTCTTTTGTTGTTTATCAAGTAGAGTTATCATATATAAAAGAATGTCTCTCTCATGCTTCATCAACACTGAATTCAATTTCCTCTCAGTCTTTTTTATTCATTATTGTTTCTTTATTCAATTTTCTCAACAACCACAACTTGAACTCTTGTATCTAGTCTATTTAATCTAGTCTAGTACAAGAAATTAAAATCATCAGTTCTCACCTTCATTTTTCGCCACTCTGAGCTGTTCCAACAAAAACAATTTTGTTGTCCAAAAATCCATCTCATCCCAGTTAATCGGTCAAAGTTTCAACACAGATCAACTGAAATGCTGAAACTATAATAACCATTTCAATACAAAGCAAAACTTGATGTCATCAGCACAGGCACCATGATAAACTGTTAATACTCCACATATTTCTCAGAGTTGGATTTGAACCTCAATTGCCATCCTGATCTAGAACTCCTTGGCAAGTGTGGGAGGACCCTTGTAAGACATAGTGGGGCCACAAGGAAAAGATATCAGTACAGAATGATCTAATGCATGAGCAAGAGAGCCTGAAACAAACAGAAAGATATGAAAGAAGAGATCAAAGGAAGAGAAAGAAAAGTGAAGACAAAACACATATCTGGGGCTGTAAGGACACAACTCAACAATGTGGGACACATTACTTCCCAAAATTGTACAAAATAAAAGAGAAGGTGAAATCAAAGTGACATGTGACATGAAATAAAGAAGTGGTACATATATTTAGATACAAATTAAAACAAATATAATACCATCTTTTTGAGTGTAAAGCCTAAAAGTCTTGCACAAAGCTATATAATATATTGACAGGTCCACATACAGAGATATCATACTTAAACTGTTATCTTATCTATGTTGGAACCAATACTTTTATTATTAAACAATCTCCATCAAAACACCCCTATGGCAACACTGCAACAAATACAGTATTAGCAATGTATTGGCAAGTATTGTTTCATGTATCATGGTCTTGATGTAATTTTTTTCATGACCAACTTGGTTCTATGGAGAGTCTTATTCATTTCACCTGGCTCTTTGACATATATGTTGGTACAATTCCTCATGATACAAACTGTGTCTTGTATTTGTTGCAGCGTTGCCTATGGCTTTGCAGTGAATTTGAGTGATTATTGTATCAGTGAAACATGCTTTTGAGGATTTTTGGGTTGGTCTTGAGGACTGTCCTTGACTTTCAAATTTGACAGAATTGTGGAGATGGTCAAAGCCAATTGATGTTGAAAACGTTGTAATTTGTCTGTTCAATTCACAAAACTTATTCCATGTGGGGACAAAAATAAAAAATATTTGTTGTAACACTGATTTCATACAGGCTGTCCAGACTACAGATATTGTTGTCAGGCTAAAAATAAGATAAGAAGTATACATCAGTTCAAAAAGATACTATTAAAGCTAACTTGGGTTTCACTAGACTTGTAATACTGGTTTTGAGAAGCATAATCAACACTCTCCCCTCACATTTGATATCACCACAAAAATGAGGAGGTGGCGCTGGTTTATAAATTCCCTTTGTCTTCCTGGGTGCTTCCATTCCAATCATACACATCCCGGTTGCACAATCTGTTGCTACTGTTAGTTCAATAAACAAACAATAATATCAATCCAGCCCTAGCCATGCAATTATACAGCATCTTATCTGGATTTTATCTCTTGAATAGCTATGTCATCTCAGCACATCCAACTTTATATCCAAAAGGCCTGGAAAAGAGAGAAATTGAAGGTCCTACTGTAGGCACTCAAGTTCACTCCCTCCACAGGAGAATGGAAGGAACTTCCCAAAGTATGTCTACATTCACCAGGAGATTTTGCTGTAATTATCAAGAAAGAAGTCATTCTTTACTTTGATGCATTGAGCCATACAATTTTTTTGCCACCAAACCCTACATACAACAATCCCTCCCAATAACAAAAAAACTGGCAAAAATTGAATCTTTTGGGAAATTTTACAATTCAATCACATAGGTAACTGGCAAGAATTCATGACTCAAGCAGAATTTATGAGTCAAGAGAGTAAGTTTTCTTGCACAAATCGAATCCTTGAATTTCCTACAAAAACTTGAGCTCATTAAGTGTTGTGAAATGAATGGTGACATTAAAACACACAAACTTGTTTATTCAAGTTCGTTTAGCAAAGGAACAACATCATACTTTAAAATTATCACATCAACTCATCAAAGATCAAACAGCTGATTGGGGAAGAAAAGTGGAAAAAAAGTATGAAAAAATCTGTCCAAAGGATGATAACCTCTCTAAACAAAATCAGTAAGATTCTGGAAAATAAGGCCAATGCAAAATTGATTGAAAAGACAGATTTGTCCAAAAAATATGTATCAGATGTTATAGTTAATCAATTATACCATAGCCCAAGAAGAATGTTGATACAATGAGCCACAGAGATGACATTCACCTTTCTGGTCAGATACATATATACATACCTAACAGTTCTATTGATACTAGTGTGCCATATCAGTTGCTGAATTAAGATCCTGTTTATGCAAGTAACTTTCATCACATCATTTTCAGTCATCCGCAAGGGTTAGGGTCAGGGGCCAGCAGAAAAACATAAATACCATTGTGTAGTTTAAAATCAGGCCCTGGACCAAAACTCAGGCTCCTTCTTGAATTTATTTTACCAGACTATGTAGGTGAGGTAGGTGGTATTAGGAAGAAATAGTGAGAGTAGAAGTTGTGAAGTGGCTGAGTCCAATAGTGGGCCACTATGCTGTCTGCCCAAAAAGCATTACTGTGACTTATTTTTTTGCACAGAAATCGTGTAGTGTTAGTGCATGTTTGCTACACTACAGACTGCTAACAGCTGCTATAGGGCCAAAGTGCCACTAACCAGCATATTAGCAAAGTGTAGTGGGCACATTTAGGGGGCCTGCGCTTGTAGTGTTAGCACAGACATGGCAGAATTCCACTATGCTACACTATTTTTTAGCAGAAATATACACTATGCTAAGCTACACTAACACAATGGTTAGTGTAACTGGCCCACCATTGCTGAGTTGGTAGAGACATAGAGCCTGACAAACTGAGGTTGTCTATATCTGGCTGATTAGGTGCCCCATGAGCAGAGAATAGGAACCACAGATCTGCTTGAACAAAACATACACAACCATTTGAAATCGAATGTGAAGCATTAAGAAGTGTGTTAGAGACGACAGAATTGGAAGTACATATTCAAAAAAAAAAAAAACGAAGAATAAGAAGGGAGATGAACAGCAAGGGATCACGTGCATTGGCTTTATAGTTCAATGTTTTTTTTGTTTGGTTTTGGGGGTTGACATATGCAACAAGGTACAAATTGGGCAATGATGGGGGGGGGGGGAAGATAGAAGAGACATATATATAGTGATGAGAAGACTATAAACAAGAACGATTGTCGAAAGAAAAGTAAACGAGGAAGGAAACATGAACACGGCGATTCTTCAAGCTAATTCCAGGTACCTACACAAACAAGTAAGTTCAAAGATGAATGCGCTCAGTTCATGTGATATCTTTTGGAGACTACAGTGGCTAAGGGTGATTAAATGGGGACGAGAGAAGACGGACCGTTCTAATTCCCAATTAGTGACTGCCTGAGTGTACAATTTCCATTCGTTTTCCTACACGAAGAAACGAATGTCAGAGAAGGTGGGGGGGGGCGAACCAACAGGTAGAGCATCAACAAGAGAGAGAGAGAGAGGAAGGTAAAAAGAACAAAAGAACAGACCCTAGTTCGGCCGAAATGGTCCACAAACTCATCGCCCAAGATCTCTCTAGCCTTGCTCTCAGGGCTCATAAACCGTTGGGTGGCCTCGTGCAAAGTGCTCGGTAGGGCATTCGATCGTCGTGGTTTGATATCTGCGCTCGTGGAACCAGAGACCGGTGGGAAATCCTTCAACGATAGATGGTTCTGGATTCCGTAGAACCCGGCAGCCAAAATCGCGGCCAGAGCGTACTACGAATAACCCATACACTATCCAATGAGCCAAAGAAACGGGCGGACAGATGTGTGAGCAAGCAGAATGGGTTTACGTACATGTGGATTCATGTCTGCACCCGGCACTCGGACCTCGAGTCGAGTTGCTTTAGGGTCGCAATTCGGAGGTGCGATGATCCGGACAGAAGCCAGACGACTATCGAGGCCCCAGCTGACCTGAGTAGCGGCCCAGAAGCCCTCGACCAAGCGCTTGTAGCCATTGATGGTCGGGATGAGACAGGGGACGATGTCCGCAAGACAGCTCATCAGCCCAGCGATGAACTCTTCCGCTTGGACGGAAATCTGGCCGGTGTGCTCCGGCCAGCTCGGGTCGGTCTGCTGGCCTGCAAATAGGTTGTCTTTCTTGTCGGACGACCATAGCGAGATGTGCACATGCCCCGAACATCCCGGTAGGTTCGAATGCGGCTTGGCCATGAACGATGGGATGATCCCATACTTCATTCCAACGTTTTTCGCTGTAAGCTTGAACCTTGTCATCCATAACCAAGAAAACACACCCACGCACATGAATACAAGAAAACTAATGATTAGGATATACAGACGTACAGGATTGCATTGTCTGCCATCCGCAGAGCATCCGTATATTCCAATGCAGTTTCATAGACCCCAGGACCTGCACCAAGACAACGCATGGTCAAGATAGATGGAGATCAAGAAGAGCCGAGCAAGCCCCAGAATTACGCACCAGTTTCGGTGTGATGTCCTTCGATGGGGATACCGAATTCTCGCGATTTTTCGTACAGGGACTGGTAGTATTCTTGGTTTAGTGCTGGACGTAATAGGGAATATCCGTGCATCCCGGAAGTCAATGGGGTCAAATTGACAAAGTTCTTGTCTCTGGCTGATTGGGCAGTTTCTATCAGACGGGGGGGGGGCAGGATTCACACACACATAGGGAGAAAAATTGGGTATCAGCGATCTATTTTGTTTGGTAGTGAAATCAACAGAGGCCCTAATAAAATTAAACGGAGTGGTGCACCCTTAAACTGAAAGTACTCATACTGTGTAAAAGTAAATAAAAAAAAGTGGGCAAGATCAACATTTATTGAGCGCACGGAGGGATAACAAGAATGTGGCACGCACCTCGATGCCAGCGAGCGCGACCATCCCGGCTTGGTTTTTCAACTTAGCCAAGACAGTTTTAAGTAATCCACGGGGACAAGCGCAGAGAGGGGTCTTGGGATCACTGGGATCATAGAAGTCGATCAGGAAGAACGGGGTGCCGTAGTTGTCTGTGCAGTCGAGATCTTTCAGCTCCCATGGTACATATCGCATCGACTCCAGATCCACTCGGGCTCTCAAATCTCGGTATCCGTTCTGGCTGTTCGAGATCTTCAGTTCGGGGTCGTAGGTCCGATCATGTATATCCTATCATCATCATCATCATCATTTTTTTTTTTTTGGTGTGGAAAAAAATCAAAAGTCAAGTCAATATTTGTATTAGAGCAGGGTTATCTATTGTGATCATTAACACAAAATAAATAAAAAAAAACTCATACCCAACCAAAGATGACACTACACCAACCCAAGCCATCACTCTTGATGGCCGACAAGAGCTTATTTTTCGAGACCAGTTTTCCGCGCAGCACGCCATCAGCATCGATCCCAGCCAGCTTGACTTTATCGTATGTGTCCAGTCTACGTTTCCAGTGTTCGACGAGTTCGTCGATCGTCTCGCTCTTTGGCTTAGAAGACATCGTCCGTCGGTCAGTTGTTGAAGTTTTGTATGTAGATCGTGTATCTCCTGACGTGTTATTTCTTTCGGCCCCGTTCGGTTGCAGAGAATGTTGTCTTCGACTGGCTTGGGGTTTATGGCTCAAGTTCCGTTGTCTGTGAACAGGGTCCAGTCTTCCGCCCCCCCGCCCATACCCCGACCAGCCCCCTCGTGGAGGAGCCGGCAAACGGGGTGGATCCAGCCGGGGCTGCCACTTGACTTGGGTGCTCGACTCCCACCCCAATCGACTATATTCCCCCTACTACATAGCCCAAGTCGAGCTGCTTTTGAGGCTATGTAGGGGGGGTATATAGCCCTCGCAATCCCTCGCCCGCGCGGCCTACATTGGCCAAAATTTACATATGTATTCCTGGTAGTCCGATCCGATGTCTGGACCGGACGGTTCTGACCTGTTCAACTTCCCCCATACTGATGCGATCGTTCTGCAATCTGCCTCTCCGGTACTCATCCATCCTGCTCGACTTTGATTCGATTGCACATGGGCAAACCACCACATCCCCACTTGTCTGGCTGAAGTTTGCTTTGGCTTGTGTGCATCTAGCTTAACAGAAGCCCCTCTATTCGTCGGGCCTGGTATTGCCTTCCTAACGAGAGTCTCTTCGGGACGCGGGGTCCCCCCAGCTGGGTTTCATTCCCAACGATCAAGCACCTCTTGCTAGACCAACTACAAACAGCAACCCTTCAACAGAGTGCAACACCTTCATTCATCTAAAAAACCCTTTGAAGCTTATATCTTTTCTCACCACATCATCAGAGTGAAAGTCATAATTGTGGGGATGTTAGTATAAAAATTAAAATAGGATTGTTTGATTTTCATGGAATTGAATAAAAAATTTGTGTAATCAAGCTTCTGGGGTTTTGTCTCTGATCTAAATTCTTTTTTTTCTTTCTAGTTTCAGTGGTATTAGAGATATAAGAATGGGGGTCTCAGGAGAAAAATGGCCAATAGGAGAAGTCAGGGTTCTTGCATAGCTTTGTTTTTTGAAAGGATTGAATTGAAGTTTAATGAGGGGATGTTTTTTTGGATGGGTTTTCTTTACTTTGTTTCTTGTTTGTCAATGTTATAATGAGACCAATTCATCAGCAGAAAACATACAGATCAAAGAAATCAAGTTTATTTAATGACTTGGTGTGTCCTGAAAGTAGCAATTGAAAAAAAAAATTGAGTAGATTCATTTTTGGGTGTTCCATTTCTGCTGTAATATTTTTATAGTTAGAAAATCATTAAGCATGAGAGCATTTGGTGAAAAGGTGTTTAGTAGGAGAAATGTCAAATCTTGAATAACACTGTTGTTTGATGTAGGAATGGAGTAGAAGCCCTTTGGTATGTTTATTTTTTGCTGAATTTTTTTTTGCACATTTGAATTCTTGTTCAATCAGTATTTATCAATTTGTAATATGGGGAACTTGATAGAAAAATGTTAAATGGGAGAAATCCAGTTTCTTGCATCACAATTTGATTTTGACTTCAAATTGAACCAAAGCTGTATTTGATAATACTTATGTGGTTTATCTTTTACAAGAAGGTCACACACTTTTTTTTATCAGTAGTATCATATATATAAGCATGGGGGTCTTGGCTCTTAGTTGAAAGATGATAAATACCAGAAATCTGGTCTGTGGAACAAATTTTTGTGTTTGAAAATGTGAAGGAATAGAAGTTTTGTTCATTTTTGACCGTGAATTGTGATATTGTATCCAAGTGTTATGGATATTGATTTGATGAAGATGAAAGCATGAAAAATCTTGACTTGGCCATGAACACCCCTGCATTGGTGATTTGATGATGGTGAGCTATAGAATAACAATCATTTTAGTTTCTTCATTGAAATTGAATGATTTTGAATGATTTAGCAAGCTTGATTCACTTTCAAAAAACGTAGGGCTAATCTAAATGATAAACCTGTATCTGGATTGACCCTATCTTGGTTGGGAGTTACTTGAAATGGTGTATTAATGATCATCATATCATATTGATTAATCAACTATAGATAATAATATTACACACTTTTGATTTTTTGAATATCTTGAACATATCTTAACCAAATTAAGGTGAGGCACAATCTCATTGACAAATATTTACTTGGCTAATTGGACCTGTGTATTGAGATAGTATGAAACATTTATGATTGAACTAGGCTGAATTTCAGGCAAAATCAGTTCAATATTAATTCACATTGGCTCTATATTGTTTGACAGTGACTCAAGAAATTATGTGAATCAGTATTGTATGGTTTGGAACAATTCAACTGACTTAATCAACTCTCAACAAAACCATGGTCAATTCAATTTCATCTAGATTAAACCTGAATTGGTTGAGAGTTAACCAAAATAATTTGACACTTCCAAAACATTTGATATTGATTCAAATTGCTTATGAATCAATCCAACATCATCTAGAATGATTGAATCTGGTTGGTAACTCACCAACATTAAATCAGCAATGCATGGGGCTTCTTGGCCAAGTCAAGATGAACCATGCTTTTTTATTCATTGTTACTCAGATAACATGGATACAAACCAATAGGGGGTATCAAATATAACCAAATCCACCATTATTTAATTGACTGGTCTGAAAAAATCCACCTTTTTTTAAACATGTTGGTTATCCATTTAACCCCTTTTGGGGCCCATTTATTCAAAAAAAAGTTTTTGGAAAAGTGACTGGTTTCTGATGGTGGATTTCCTATATTTGATACCCCCTAATAAAAGATTTTACCAAATTTTTATTCCTTCAGAAACTCAAACAAAAAGGTGATTCAAGTGACCATCTTCTCCTATTTATCCATTTTCTACTAAGACTCCAAACCCCTACACTTATATCTTCAATACTCTTGATATCAGAAGTGTGAAAACTTATTGGCAAAGGTAAAACAGAAGCATAATTTTTCTGCTAAGTTCTCCATGATTATACATTCAAAGATACTTATGCAATAAAAGGATATGAAATTGGTATTGGAGGTGGAAAAAAGTAAAATACCAACACATTTTTAATTCATTCCAACCTCAAACTACAGAGTTATACAATCTTCCACATTTCTCCTACAGACCTTTTCCCTCAAACCAAAGAACTCTCCTGAGTAATATAGAAAATGATCAGGAGGTAGAAAAGCAAGAGAAAATAGAAGAGAAAATATACCTAGCACCGGAGAGGGAAGGACTCTACCAAGCTAGGTAGGGGGAGGAAAGGATGAAACTAAATACAATGATTAAGCTGAGGACTATGTAATCCATGACAACTTTGTGAATTCTAGACAGGGGGGGGGGGCTTCACATACCCACATGTGTATCTGTGTTAATTATAATCAGCTCATTACATTTTGATTCTTCTAGTATTTGTTCATGCATTTTCACACCCTTCATCAACTCATATTTTTTCAGAGTTTCTTGCCAAGTGCTTCAATTTGAGCCATCTATTGAGGGATCCTCAAGTCTTGGTTTATCAAAATCTCTTGATCAATTCATTACAAAAAAGCTGCCATTTTGCTTTATGAAAAAGTAGCAATGTTAGTTAAGGGGTGAAGGATGATTTAAACAAATGTTCTAGCAAATAAGAAGACATTCAGGAGAAAACAACCAGCAATGCCACCTAGTAGAAAGACCATCAAATCAGTAAGCTTGAGTCATGTAGAAACCGGTCGCAGAATGACACAAGAAAAGGATTGGATGCCCAATCATTGGGGCTAATCTGTTGGCTGTCAAACTAGTTGATTGATTGGTAACTTATTCCAGGTTGGTTTCTGGTTGGCCCAGGGGTAAAAAGTTAGTCGCGATAGGATAGTGTTCAGCCTTTTCCGAGTTATGGAAGACAGTGAGGACGGTGGTGATGGGTTCTTGACCGTCCTGAAACGATCAGTGCCAATTTCGCTGATTCCATGGCAGGGGGATTAATCGAATTGCGGTGAGGTAGCGTAATAGGGCAGAATCCAATAAAATTAGATAGGCGGAGGGAGGTAAAGGACCGGTGTTTGCGAGACGACCTCAGGAAATGAATTTTCGGGGGACTCGGGGTCCCTCAAGACTGCATATGTAAATTTTGGCCAATGTAGGCCGCGCGGGCGAGTCTTCTGCCCCCCCGCCCATACCCCGACCAGCCCCCTCGTGGAGGAGCCGGCAAACGGGGTGGATCCAGCCGGGGCTGCCACTTGACTTGGGTGCTCGACTCCTCATCTATGACCATCGTACCTCACCCCAAAAATTTTGCAATTTGCATGTTTTTTGGGGTTGTCTTTGGATTGGATGACGGTTTAGCCACTGAAAGATGTGATAAAAACAAAATTTCCAATTGACATATAGTTGATTAAAATGAGGTCCAGAGAGGGTCACCGTCTTGGTGAGATTACAAATGTCAAAAGGGAGTCCATGGCCTCTTTTTATTTCTTAGGCTTTTGACTCTCCTCTTGAATGCTTGGTCCGATTTATTTCCGAACTTACTGAGTTGATCAGCTGATGACGAGCTTGTTCGGAGAGAGAGTTGAAGTCAGCCTAGGGCGCAGCAGAGACAACTGGAAAGACAAAAAATGATGAGGATGTCTGGACTTTTGTTCGGTTTGGGTTTGGATGTATGACAGTCCAGATGTATGAGAACGCCAAAAGTGGCTGTTTGTTGTGCTCGATTTTCTTCTTCAAAGATCGACCCTCAACAACCCGACTGTACCTAGGCATACATTCCCTCTATTCACCTCCTATCATCCACCAAAATAATAAACAATTAATTAATTATTCCTACAACCCTCGCCCACCCATACCGGCATCTCACAACAACCGCAATCTCTTTTTATTATCTACATATACGCTCTGATCAAGTCACCCAGCGAAAAATAATAATTGTTTGAGACTCTCTCGGTGGAACAGTTTGTCCGATCGTCTCCAGGATCGTTGTTGGTTAGCTGACCCGCTCCGACATCTTGTCGTAGTGCAATCATCACCACTGAAGTGAGTGTTGTTGTGTTGTGACCACTTGCAGCTGTTGTTGTAATCACTTTCCTTGTCTGCAGGGGTGCGCTTTCTTTCTTTATTTTTTTTATTCTTTGGGCACCGCCCACTTCATTTCCAGAGTCAGAGTCACTCCACTTGGAACTTGGAACTTGGAAGGCTGACCCTCCTCCTCCACACTCAACTTCTCACCTGCAAATAGCATCCAACAACATGGGTTCCTCCAACCACCACCACCACCATCACCCTGGCTCTGGCTCACTCGCCGGGAACCCACATGGCTCGAGCCATCCCAGCACTCCCACTAGCTCCAACCCACTAGTCCCTGCCGCCGATCCAGATCCTTCAAACTGCCAGCCTAGTCACCTGCTCCCCTCAGAGGACTGCCTGCTACCCTCAACCCCCATCAGCAGCCATCATCAAGCCTTCGTCTCCTCCCCATCCATCTCTCTCTCCCTCTCCTCACTCTCCTCAACCAAGCCGATCCATCACTCCGGCGCCAACTCCGGCTCCACCAGCTCATCCACCTGCTCATCCACCTGCTCATCCCCTCCCTCCTACAAGTACTCCACCCTCCCCCCTTTCTACCCTCAAGCCGCCGGATACCGATGGTCGACCACCCCCTTCCGTCAGATCAGATGCCATCCACTCCACTTCCTCAAGTCGCGTCTCTCCCCACTCCTCTTCCTCACCCTCATCTTCGCAATCGGCTATCTCCTCGGCTCCCATTCCCGATCCCATCCGCAATCCATCCCCGCCTCACAGCAACTCGCTCGCTTCGTCCTCCGTCAGCCACGTATCCCCTTCCTCGTCAACCTCGCCTCCTCGCCTCCTTCTCCTGCTCCTCCGGCTCAAGATCACTCCCTCCAAGTCGGTCGATCGAAAGACAAGATACCCTCGATCGTTCACTATGTCTTTGGTATGGCACCCGACTTTGGTGGAAAGGTAGTACTCAATCTGATTTCAACTGTCTGCATAGATGTTGTTGTTGTTGTTGTTGACCAATCTCTTGCTCATTCATTCCTCCCTTCTTCAAGCCATTTGGGTTCATTCACTACGCATCCATCCAATCGGCCGTCCAAATCCTGCGGCCGAAGGAGATCCATTTCCACTACCATTACGAGCCGACGGGCTGGTGGTTCGAGCGTGCCCAGGAGATCGACGGCTTCAAGCTGGTCAAAGAACGAGACGTAAGCCATTGGCTTAGTCCATTCGGAAATTGCTGTGCTTTTTTTTTCAGTCCGTTGAGTTGATCATTGCTTACACTCAGGTCTCCGAGATCTACGGCCGTCCTGTCAAGCATTTCGCTCATAAGGCTGATGTCAGTTCATCTACCCCCTCCATTCCTCTGCTTACTTGAGCCCACGGCTTACTAACTCTGTGAATCTTGCATCCAAAAGATCATCCGGCTCGAGGCTCTCCGAGACTACGGCGGTATCTACCTCGATCTGGATGGTAAGTCCTTGTGAACAGAACCTTGTCTGATACAGGGGACTGACCGAATGACAAACACGACATTGTTTATGTGACGCAGTGTTTGTGGTGCGGAACTTCGACAGCCTGCTGAACCTGGAAGTCGTTCTGGGCCAGGAAGCCCGACCCCGGCCGACGTTCTCACGGCGACCCGGCTCGGAATCGGTCGACGAGCCCGTCGGACTCTGCAATGCGATCATCCTCGCCAAGCCCTTTGCGCCCTTCATCACCCGCTGGCTGTCCTCCTATCGCTCCTTCAACCACCATCGATGGGCCGACCATTCTTCCGTCATTCCTTGGGCCCTCGCTCAGGCTCATCCTGACGAACTCACCGTCCTTGGCCCCCGTGCTTTCTTCTACCCTCTCTGGTATGCCGACTCGACTATCTTATCCTTATGACATCAATCCTTACTCATGTCTGTTTTTTTTTTTTTTTTGAAAGGCATGAAGATGATCTATGGTTAGTCCACAAGACGACCGATTGGGATTTCGACCGATCCGAACAATTTGCCTACCATGTCAGTCCAGCTTTGCCCACCCATTTTAATTCCAAGACGACCTCATCCTGACCCCTTCACGTTCTCTTTTCCTTCGGTGTGTGTCTATGTCCCAGGCATGGAGCTCGATCAGCCATGCCAATTATCTGCAGTCGCTGGACCCGGACCGGATCCATGCCTCTGGAGGGCCCGAGCGAGGCGAGAGCAGCTTCACCTACTTCGTCCGTCGGTTCATCCACGACTCGATCCGCGAGGAATGGAGAGAGGCTAAGGCTAATCGCTCCCTCACCTTCTGAGCTCCAATTTCATCTCTCTTGTCCGGGCGCTCGTTTGTCGTCTTCCTTTGGTCCGCTTTTTTTCTTGAAAGCCTCCCTTGGCTTCCCGGATTTGTTCGTTTCGAATAATCGTTCATCGCAAACTCAGTCCCCCGCAAGTTTCGCAATCCTCCCCCCCCCCTCATTTTCTTGAAAGCCTCCCTTGGCTTCCCGGATTTGTTCGTTTCGAATAATCGTTCTCGCAAATCAGTCCCCGCAAGTTTCGCAATCTCCCCCAAACAAAAGATTACACTCCTGGCAACACCGACTTATAATTTATTGAGCTTCCCTTCCTCCACCCATCCCCTGGTCTTCCTCACCCTCAAATCATCCCCCAGTCACTCATCTCTCACTCACTTCATTCTTACCCCTCTGTTTTCTCCCATCTCTCAAATTTATCGACTTTCCCTTCGTCACCTCTCCCCTGGTCTTCCTCGCACTCAAATCATCCTCCAGTCACATATCAGCCTTTCTTTTTCATTCTTACCCTCTATTTCTCGCATCTCATAAGCAGGAACCTAGTCCATTCATCCTCGTAGTATTAGTAATGGTCGTGGTCATAGGATCAAGAATGACAGACATCAGTCTTCTTTTTTCTTTTTTTGGTTGACCATTTTGTAACAATCTTGATGTTTCATTTTTGTTTCTCTCTTTTTTTTCTTCCTTTTTTGGGGGGGTTTTTTGTGTTGGAAGGATCATTTTTTTTTCTTTGTTGGTTGTTCTTCTTCTATTGTGAAAGCAGAACAATTGGGCAATCAGAAAATGGAGAAGAGGAAGCGGACTAGAAACAAATCAATGTGGTCTTGTTTGTTGGTTTTTTGGATTGGATAGGATAGGGTTCTATATCAATGGACAAGAGTGTTTTTTCGTTGGATGCTCAGTGGTCATTGTCTTGGATTCTGATAAGGATTAAGGATGTTCTGGTCCACCGTTGGAAGGGTCACGAAATCATGTATTTGTGTGGAAGTCTTCAGGTGGAGGAGGTGGGGGGGATCAATGACTGGGCAGAATTGTCCCTTTGTTTTGTCAGCTTGGGGAGC